TTCCCTACGAGACATAAGCTACTGTACATGCAACAGTCCTATTATTAGAAATAAGTAGATCTCAAAAGCATAGCCACAGCATGCTTTGTGCACCGTTCCTTTGATCAGTTCCCATCTTCTGTTGTTTCAGTACTCATTGCAGTACTGTTGTACAGTCCCTTTGAAAATGTAGGCAAATGAGCTTAATTTTCATTCTTTCTCCTTTGTTCCTAGACATAAAACTGTTTCAAACTGTACTTTGCCGACTGCATCATGTCAAACCACAAGAAACATATTCCTAATTAAAACTAAAAATGGGGCACATGAATCAAAATCCAATCTCAGAAAGTCTTCAGCATCCTGAATTATACTTTTCTTATCCTGCATACCTCTGAGAAGCTCACACTGAAATGTTAAAGTTTATCTATCAGTGTTAGAGAAAAGATGTTATAAGAGTTGCTCATTGCAGTCTTCTAGGTAAATTGCTTCATAATGCAATATTTCATTACATATTGGTAGGAATTACACTTTTACTAGGAGGCTTGAAATTCGAAAAGTAAGGGACAATTTATTTCTAGCATGAGCAGTGTGTCTCAAATAGCCTGTGTAATAACATAGATTCAAAAAAGCATTCCTCAAGGAAATGCAAACGGCACTGGAGATCTCGTTCCAGTGCTTTGATCCTTACTGTTCATGGTAAGCGACAGAGTTGAGAACCTCTTAGGCCAGGATGCAGGTCATGCATTGTGTGAGCGGATGGGTATGTGCCATCACTTGGGCACGCAGCTGCTCCCCCTCACGTGCCTCGATGGACGTGGCGCAGCCTGCCATGATAGCTAATATCACCACATGAGATGGAGCTGTGAAACCCTTGGGGAAGAGGGGAACAGGCTACAGGCCGTAGGCTGCATGGGGTATGTGGGCACACTGTGTTGGATGTTGGCCTGGTCAGCCTTTCCTGACCTGAAGACAGGGCTAAACCAACTTTTAGTTTCCCCTGCAATGGACTGAAGCATAGGCTTGGTTGACCACTCTCATGCAGTTTCTGGCTACACCCTTAGTCCATGAGTCTTTTTATGTCATATTTCCCAACAGATCTGGGCCTAAGCTGGTCTGTGTACATGAGCTTTCTGATGCTCAAGGAAATCTCTGTTTCTGAGCTCTGAAGGTCATCTATGGCTCTCCCTTAGTTTCAGATGAAATGTCACATATGTTCAAATCTTCCTTTTTACATTTCCTGGTCGTAACACCTCCCTTCCTTTAGATTTGCCTTGAAATAGATGGTCTGTCTGTTCCCAATGCATCTGTCAATCTGGTGTTGCCTAAGGTTCAAAGTAAATGTAGTGGAAGTTCATCCATCTCCTGTAACCTCAGCATATTTGCCCTGGCTAGAATATATTGCTGCTAACCTAAAGGCTGCTTTCCATGCTCTGCTGGTATGTAAAATGAGAAACTTGCAATTATTTGCCTTTCATTTAGGGAAGTACTGCAATAAAAAAATTTCTATCTTGGGTAGCCTTCATTATTGGAAACAGTGTAAAAGATGGAAAGAGCTCTTTAGGATTGTCAGAGATGAGGAGTTTCTGAGATACGGGGTTGAATAAATCTGTTGATTTGTAAGCTGAGCACATTCAAAGCTGACTCACCATGAGATGAATGCAAATAGAAAATGCCGTTTTACAGACCTTTTTGTGCTTGTTATTTTTGATTAATAATATGTTTAGTGCTGATGGTGTACTTGGTGCTATGCAAACCGCACTAATAAAACAGTCCTGGCCTCGGGGATGTACAGTATAAAAAGATAATTATCGAGAAGACAGGATGTACTTGGAAACAAAGATGTGGGGGAGAGTGTAGAGATTTTTGAATTGGTGTCCCTTAGAATATAGCTGTCAGTCAGTATAAGAGACGTAATACCTCCTCTGCCAACCTTCTATTGTGTCTGTTAACAGTGGCAGCTATTTGGCACGCAAATTGTATACCATAAAGTGTTCGTACTGTACCAAGCATAATAGGACCTTCTTCTCACTGAGGCCTCCAAATATTTTAAAAGTAATAATAAAACAATCATTTCACTTTGAGTTTTATAGAAGAGGCACATGTTTAAGTAGTATTTTTAACTAGGGAATTTTAACAGTTTCATTTTTATGTATATAATGATTAACATTAGGAAAATAGGGAGCTGAGCAAGCGTAGGGAGACATTAACAAATCAGTTGTGTTCTAACCCAGAGCTGCGAGTGAGTAGCTCTAGAGATATACGCTAGCTAAGGAAGAAGTGGTCAAATTGTTTGCTCTGACAGTGAAGGGAGAAGCCAGTAAATAAGGACTGCTGGTGGAACACTGTGGGCTCACTTGGGTTAGAAAGCCGAGGAAATGGTAACATGCAAAGCTCGTTCTTATCAGAATAATGCCTTGCACAGGCATTCAAGAACAGCGTGGAAATTGATGAGACATTAGGACTAGGATGTTTGACTGTGGCAGAATTTCTCTCTTTGATGTGAAGTTTTTTTGTCTGAATATAAACTTAACATGCACACCAAATGCTCTAAGGAAAGTAGTGTTGGCTGTATCTCTCTACTTTTTTTTTTTTCCCAGAACACTGGCTTTGATTAAACCTGATGCGATGCCCAAGATTGGAGAATTAATTGATATCATTATTAATGCAGGATTTACAATAACTAAGGCCAAAATGATGGTGCTTTCAAGGTAAGGAATTTTTAAGGTTAGCTCTATTGTATCTAAATATTATTTTTGCAGTTAAGAATGTTCTCTGAAGCTATCCTGTGTTGTTCCACATATCAAATCCATTCCAGTGAGTAATAAAAGGAAGACTCATCAGTTTCATAATCACGTAGGTTTCTGAAAGCATGTAGAGAATTAAGCGAAGTGTTAAAAAGTTCTGTGGAAATGAGTATGGGTGATTAAACGTGTAATGTCTCTGTATGAATCCAAGGTGACTACCATAGCTTTAGCAATTCAGCAGTGTTTACTACTGACATGGCTGTATGTCCTCACCTCATGGCTTCCTGATACAAACCGTATTGCTGATGATAACAGCATTGTCTTTAAAGTAGTTGGTTTGTTTGCTCTCAGTAAATGTGTTGTCTTAATTTGTGCTCTCAGAACCCACACTTGTTTGCTTTTTAGTGACTGGAAGTCCCAGGCAAAGCAAGCGATTTTCTGATGTTGTTGCAGGGTTGGACAGATTTTACTCATGCATCTTCCTAATCCCCCCCAACCTTCACTGTTCTCCACTTATCTCATTGAGCCACAAGATTCTTTTAGCAGAGCTGAAAGAAGAAGTAGCAAGATTGAGGAGTATCAGGGAGTGTGAGAGGGAGATAGACTGGTGGAGCCACTCCCCACCATCGCTGAGACGAGCACACCAGATGGAAGCATCAAGAGAAGGAGAGGCTCCCCTACCCTCTTGCCACCGGGCAGAAGGAGGGGACCTAAGAGATGGAGGGCGATGGAAACAGATCCCTGCTCAGCGCAGCAGGCGAATCCTCTCCTGGCCTACCTCGCCCTCCCAGGTGCCCTTACACAATAGGTATGAGGCTCTGGAACTTGAGGGCCAGGAGGATGAAGATGCGGACAGTGATCCATCCAAGGGGTT